GACTCTTGCAGCAGATGGTGCGAGCCCTCAGAGCGCCGAGCTCAACGATACGTGTCAACGTGGGATCACATGACCCCACAGAGGCAACTGAGAACTTCCAACTGCAATAAAAATGTTAATAAAGCGCCATAGTTTGCATGATTTTAAAAACACAACCATTTATGACATCCTCAGTTACGTTTAGTAGCAAAAGCAGTCGCCCTTTATTTCTTAATAGTCAACTAATGAAACGTGTGAATGATCAGTAACGGCTTCTGCAGTCGGAAACAGCAGTTGTTGTTTTAACATCTGTTTTGGGCATAAATGCTGAGACTACGGTTGCTATGATGGTCCAATGTTTGCCTGCTTCTGCCTCACAGAGGTTCCTGTCAACCAGCAACATACATGAATACAGGTGAGAGCAGGAGGAACCTTTTTGAGCAGTGAGTCAGGTAACTGCTAGCAGCAATATGCAGAATGGACTTCTAAGGTGAAAGGGGAAAGCAGCAGCAGCTGGATGCATGTTGTTTCTAAAACAGTAATAAAGGCTCAGCAGTTTGCTTCCACACCCCGTGTGCACATTCAGTTTGTCCATGCAGTGTAACAAACAGCAGCCTTTAATTAAATGCAGTGAGACAAAGCTGCTGAGTGTCCCATGCTGTATGTGTCACGCTGCTGCAGCAGTAAGACGCAGCTTAGAGGCGGAGCCAGGTTACTTCAGGTGCTTCCTATCGTTCAAAGCCTTGTGCATGAAGCCGGGCAAACCAACAGCCTGCAGGTATGTATGAGCAAGACTTTGTTTTTGGTTAACACACATGCATCAAGTCCCAAGCATCAGGATGCAACAGTGTTACACAGCTGGAGGTAAATGCACTTTAGATATGCAGTATATCATTTTTTATAATTGTTGATGCGCCCAACTTCACAGGAACGCTTCAAATCACTGCGTCGACGCCACTGAACAACATACTGGATAATAAAACTTACATGCTACGGTTATACCAAGTTTAAGCATTTTGTATTACATCCTATAGGAATAGTTGCCCAACAATTACAAAACCAGTTTGACCGACTGATCAGTTTCTGAGTGAGTGAGCATTACAGCTGAAACATGCACACTCCAGGCTGCAGTCTCCTACACTGAATGCTGATCAAACACAGAGCTTTAAACTTTCACCTGTTCCTTAACTGCATCGACCTGAAAGAGAAGAGGAGCAGCACAGGAGATGAACGTTTAAAACAAACTGGCAGAGGCGGCTGGAGATGCAAAGTAATCAGACAAAATTGTGCAAGTTTTATTTCACTGAGGATTCCTCGTGTGCCAACGTGATCTTTTGAGTGACCATCTAACAGGAAACCTGAGAGGAGCCGACTCACCTTGCTGAGGTACTCCCTCATGACCTGAATGAAGTACGGCATAGAAAAGTCCATGATGTTGTTCCTCCAGGAGGTCTCCAGCACCACGTCAGGTCGTAGCAGGTCGTAGCAAGTGAACAGGCAGGCGGCGAAACACTCCTTCTTGTTCTCCTGCAGGAACCAGGACAGCAGCTCCTCTGCCAGCTCTGTGTCTTTGGATTCTGAAGCATACTGCATGGCATCCTGCAGAGCGAGAGGCAGCACAGAGGGTCAGGAACAGTGCAGCACACCTGCTTACCTTAACCCGAGCACTCAAACGGACGGGGCACCTTATAAAGCTTGTCCTTCTTGCAGAGCTCCACGCTCTGTTTCCAGCGGTTGTTGCCCTTAAACAGGTAGGCAGCGATTCTCCTGAACTCAATCAGCTCGTGCTTCTCCAAGCGCTGGGCCAGCGAGATGTTGTCAAAGTTATCGTAGGCATCTATTGATGTTCTCAGTGCCTGGCAGGAGTACGCAGAAAAAAAGAGTGAGGTGGGTGTTTTTGAAATAACAGAACGTTGAACTGAATCCACAGCTACTCACCTGATAGTCCTCCTCTGTGATGAAGAGGTTGTTAAGTGCTTCGTTGACCGATTTGTTGTTGTGGTTCTGTACTGACCGTAGGTACGGTTTGACCAGAGGCAGCTGTTTCACCTGTTAACATACGAGTGCGCTCAGTGCTCAG